ACGGTACCATGAAACATGTCTACCAAGTTTCATAAAGATATCTCAATTTTTACTCAAGTTAGAGCTTGCACGGACGGACGGACAGACGGACAGACGGACAGACAGACGGACGGACGGACAGACAGTCACCCGGATTTCAACTCGTCTCTTCATCCTGATCATTTATATATATATAACCCTATATCTAACTCGATTAGTTTTAGGTGATACAAACAACCGTTAGGTGAACAAAACTATTATACTCTGTAGCAACAGGTTGCGAGAGTATAAAAATTTACGATGAAAGCTCAGCTCAATAATATTCTGGAGTACATTAGTAAAGCTTTTATTTGGATTTCCGTAGACTAAACAAGAGATAAGATAAGCGGACTTTATTCGACATATTTCGTGGTTAGTAGTTTATTAATTTTCAGCGGAACCTGGTTTTCGGAAATGGCTAAGCGTAGTTGTGTCTTACAATATGTAATAGTCATAAATTTATAAGAGAAACTTATGTAAATATTTATTCAACTATACTTCAAAATTATATTTATTTTAAGGCATTACATCGATTTATGTATAATAAGGGGAGCGAATTTTTAAAATAATTTAGATTAAAAATTTAATTCCGGTGTAGGGATTTAACTTTAGGTTCTCATTTTTTAATTTATATTTTTTAATCCAAGATGGTTGGGATTAAAAATTGAAATATATATTTTTTGATTTGAATGAACGCGAAAATATGTTAATTCTAAAACAAATTCTTTTTTTAATTCTTAATTATATGCTTGAGATTATTATTTTTCTTTTTTATTTTTAAATCCGGTATGCATATGATGATATGAAATAAAATCTTTTTCTTATTTTTGTTAATGTTTGAACCCAATGTATTAGGGATCACACCAAACTTTGTCAACACTCACGGCTTGCACAGTTAATAAAGCAACTGAAAATGCGCGTTTATTTAGTTACACAATTTATTTAATTTTTGCAATTTAATTAGTACGATTTTTACAATAAAATTCTAAACACATATATTTATAACAAGTGTTCAAAGACAAGGTACTTTTTTCAATATCCTTTTTGTGACAGATCGCGCGTGAGTCGTATCAAGCTGTCATGTTATTTTTGTTTAGTATTGTTTGCCATTTCATCGTAGAAAGACTTACGCTTGAAAAATGTTTACAAATTGTTCCACTTTATTACGAAACATTCATGTTCTGTAAAGAGCGCTTCGCTCAACTTAGGGTCAACATAATCGGCCTACTAAGCGTACTATTCGCAACACCATCACCTATCATGAGACTTAGCATTCATTATTACATATTATTCAGTGAAAAAAATTTAGTTGCCGTAGCTGAGAGTGTACACGAACAGTGTACAGTGATTCGATGCCGTTCCCAGCTACTCGGACTGACATATGGAATGACTTGGCGCTTTTAACGTCGAGATCTTAAATTGAAAGCGTACAAAATACAGTTTGTACAAGAACTGAAACCGCTCGGCCCTCCCAAGCGACATCGCTTCGCTCTATGGGCTCTTGAAAAGTTCCAAGGAGATCCCTCGTTTTCGAGCCAAATTTTGTTCAGTGATGTCGCCCATTTTTGGCCAATGGATATGTGAATAAGCAATTGCCGCATTTGGGACGCAATCTGAAGAGATTCAAGAGCTACCATTTCAGTTGACTAATTCAAATGTTATCTCAATTCTTTTTTTATAATGCATTATTTTGCAACCCTGGGTATAATAATGAAGTTTAGTAAAGCGCTTTCTTTACTTACGCTTTTAGTTGAAAAGAATATTTTATCACTAAATTACCCTATGAATTGTAGGTTCAATTCAAGTACAGTCTTCTAAAACTGTATTGGAGCAGTAGAACGGAGAATGTATTTTTGTGTCTGTATTGTTCTTGAGGCTTTTTAATGTTCAATACCAGTACACTTGGTATTCTATTATTCGTGGGATCGAAATAAATATACTTTGTTAAAATTATTAAAAATATTCATACAAGACAATTATTAATTAATACTAAAGCACTTGTTCTTTACACTTGATTGTACTTACACTAAGGTCATTTAAGACCGTTTGCATCTCTATTTGCTTATTAATTACTCCAGAATAATAATCCTTAAAACTTTCCATATCAGTTATTGCTGCTTCGATTTTTGCTCCAAATGCGGCTATTATTTTTTCTTCTTTAGCAAAATTTTGTTGACCTTCTAGATTACTTTTATATTTGGTCAAATTCAATCGTAGTTTTTCTGTTGTACGTTCTATTTCATTCAACCGGATATTGATTGTAGTTTGATTTTTACTCAGTAAAGTGAATACTTCATGCCATTTCTGAAGAATATCGGGTAAATCTTTGTTCATTACGACAACTGTAAAATAAAATACAAATTAATTACATCAACGAAATAACAACGCATAAAAAAATGTATGCTATAGTGGAGAAAAATTCATCATAGTAAACTAACCCTCGATTTATTCAATCGTACGCATGATTAAACAAGTAAGGAAGGGCTTAGTTCGGGTGTAACCGAACAGTTTATACTCTTGCAATTTGCAAGGAGCAAGGTCGGCGAAATACTTATAGGTGTTGGCAAATCTTTATATTAAAAAATGATGCGAAAGAATGCAACATTCATTATTTGACGAAATCGTGAATGGATAATAATCAAAGTAGGTATCTATCGAAATCGTGAATGCATAACAATCAAATTAGGTATCTTATCAACTTATATTGAAGGTCATGTACTCATTAAGTTTTATTAATATATTTTAATCGTTTCAACGAAAATTATATTAAAATCATCCTTAATGAGAAATATATGATATACTTGTAAGCTCAGTCCAAGAGATTAAATTTAATATATGGTTGATGTAGAAAACGTCAACCATAAGATCGAAACTCTTTATATTAGGGCTTTGAGGTTTAGCCCAAGGTACAGACCAATTTCATTCATATTCAGTGATAAACCACATAATTTTCAAGGAAACTTGTCCATTTAATTTCATTAAAATATTAAACATTTTGACCAACATGAATGGTTTAAAGAAACATTTACATATGTTATATATGGGCAGAGAAAGGGGCGGGCTTGCATTGATTTGGATATTGCTCAGGTATCCTTGAGAACATATTTTTAAGCAATTTTAGGAATATATAACTCAGATACTGAACGACATATTCGTCATAAGGCTGGTTAGAAAAACGAAAATCATTATTTGTAGTATATGGAAGTCGTTGGCTTTTCACTAAGATAACTCACATATTGGCTTTCATTCGATTCAACCCATTTTTGACATACAGGCATACTGTTTTCAAGAGAGGATTAGTTCGGAATTTCAATAACATATTTCACTTTCGGTCACTGATTGACCGATATTTTCGATAAAATGTTCGCTGTAGGAACTGGGGTCCACATATTCGGTATCTGAGGGCTTGAACAGTTGTAGTTCGATTTGGACAATTTTTGATCACAAGATGGCATACTTTAAATACATTATTCACGCAAAGTTTTATCCCGATACATTTATTGTTGCTTGAATTGCATGCTGGAGAGTGAATGAAAAAGATGGAATTCAAAATTGTGTTATATGGGAAGTATTTTGACCCCGGCTCCTACAAAGCCGTCTCGTACCATCTCGGATGTAAAATTTAATGTCTCTGTTGTATTTATTTATTGATTTATCCCGCTTTAATACGTTATTAACAGAACCGTTATATGGGGAGGGGGTGAGCTTATATTCCGAATCCCTCCGAGGACGAATTTTGTTATTGCATCTTAAGTGGTTTAGGAAATATGTGCATTATACCTCTTAGAGGGCAAGGCAGGTCAATAATAGACGTGGCAGTGGTCCGGTTTCATTAAGGTGCTCTCACCTCAATATCGTGTATACAATAATAGTGTTAGTAAATCAGTGGTCCCAGAACATCTATTTACGAACTCCTACTCTTTGATACTAAGGAACGGACGGACAAACATACAGTCACCCGGATTACAGCTCGTCTCGTTATCCTGATCAATTATAAATATATAACCCCATATCTATCTCGATTAGTTTTAAGTGATGCAAACAACCATTAGTAGTTATTAAATATGTAGTTTTATGAAAATAAAAGAAAATAAATAGCCGACAGTAACATATATACAAAATAAAACATACGGACGAATAGAATATCCATTAGAAAATGCCTATAGTCGCATAAGACAAAGAAAGTTATTCTTCCTACGAATTCTTCTTAAAATTTAATAGAACGTCAGATATCCCCAACGTTTTATAACTTCCGCTAAGGGCTTTGGCGTGGAATATACAAACTAAGAGGTTTCTGTCGAAGAAATGTGAGCCCATTCTTCGTGCAGCACATCCTTGGGCATATCCTTTGAGGTAATTGTGCATTGACGGATTTTACATATATAAGCGCTATTTAGGATTAAAATCTGATGATTCTGATGGTGTTTGAAGCTGCTTGGCAACGTTGTAGAGTAACTAAAGCTGTGCTTCGGGTCGTTATCCTCTAGAAAATAGGAGTCACTTCCAACACTAAATTCTACCGCTCTTTGCTTCAAATTTATTTTTATGATATTAAGGTATGTACATTTAACCATGGTGGACTCTATAAATTCCATTTGGCCCACACAGTTACTAGCTATGTACCCCCATATCATTGCTTCTTCATCACCGTTCTGCACTGTATGTATTAAGATTTCCTTATCAAGTGCCGCGCCCGTTTTCCGCCATTAAATCTTACGCCCCTTGATTCCAAAGAAGCATAACATGTTCTCATGGGAAAAATAACTTTCTGCCAAAACTCCCCGGACTTATTTATGTGCTCTTCCGCGACAACATTATGCACTTGTACTATGTTCGCACCGACACAAAGTTCGTGTTTTCATAGACAAAAGAAGTTTTCACGCGAAAACTTGTGTTTTCATCCATACAAAATCTGTCAAACGAAAACACAGTTTTCGCTAAAAACCCCTTGAAAACTTACATTCCACTCATTATAATCGGTGCCTGCTCTAGTTTAATCGATATTATTGGAAGACATATTTTGACATCCCTAAATGTCAGTTGACAATTTGTTTACATTCCATAATTGGCCTAAACGTACTCTACAATAAACTGCTGATGGGTTCACCAATACACTCAGAACTATCCACTGATTGGAGAAAGACATACGCAGAGCTATTGAGAGGAGGAGATGGCATCAAGTGAAAATTTATTTTTATATTTTCATATTTTATTATATTTTTTGTTGCATTCCTTTTTGTATTTAAGTATATTGTTATAACTAATTTTGATTAAAAGTTTGAAATTTATTAAAGAAATAAAAATTACATTATCTACTGCGCAAAATAATTGTTCACTTCTGATAGCGTTTCAGTCATAACTGACAATTTTCAGCTATGACGGATTTATGGTCAGCAATGACTCAAAAAAAAACAAAACAAACAAACAAAAAGAAAACAAGGCTCTTAAGAAAATGAAAAAAACTTAGTTCTGCGCGCTGACAAAATTTTTTCAGCTATGACTGTCATATTACCCATCAGATGACCGTCCCTGTTCCTGTAGGGTACATAACAAATGTAAACAAATAGATGTGTGAACTGTCAATGAAAACTCATTGGAAACGCACAATGTTGGTCAGAACGACTTTGGTTCCACAATCCACAAATTGTGTTTTCAAGAAGATTTCAATTAGGTGCGAACATAGTATTACCTTACATTGCAAAACGTTACGAGTTTCACGCTGTGCTAGTACTTTTGGCCGCCCTGGACACGCCGAGATACAAAAACGCTAGTATGTTTGTAATTTGTTATTACTATTTGTATGAAAGACTGTGTTCTTCCAACAATTCGACCGATTTCAGGGAATATTTTTCCTTCTTCGAAAAGTTTATCCATTATTTCCCTTTCAGAGGGGCTTATTTCTTTTCTTTTAGGCGAGAATCGATATTCTAAATTTGTTAACAAATTGAATCTTTTGCTACTTTTACGAACTCAAGTAAACCTACAACTTTACCCATTTGTGCTGCGCTGCAAAATTACTATTTTTTGTAAATTTGTCTATAAAACTATGGTGTCAAATCTTGATTGGTTTAAATGATATATAAATAAATAATAAATGCTATAATATAAAGTTTGCATTTTATATAAAGTTATTTTTTAACGAACAAAAAAAAGATATAAGCGTGTACGCAGACTATTTGGCGATTGTATGTATATTATTATTAATTAATATTATAAGTCGTAGGCTCACGTTTCATTACTACATTTTGCTTCGAGCATCCGAATTAACTTAAATAAAATATAAGTATGTAATATAAAATCTTAGTCCCTTTAAGTTTAATATATGAGGATATGAGGTTTTGGTAAGGTATATACCAATTCGATTCCCTAAACCACATTATTTTTAAAAAACTACTAATCTCTCTATTTTATTAAAATGTCAAGCACACATTTTTATCTAGATATCTTACATATCGGCCGATTTATATGGTTCAGTATAAAGCCAACCAGACATTCAAAAATCTTTCTATTAGGTATATAAAAGCTAGAGAAAGTATTGACCGATGTTTTCCATTCTTAGCATCCGATATATGATTCCCAAAAAAATGCTATCTGACTTTTATCAAGGATCCTCACAGATTTACCGATATTTTAGGTAAAATGTCAGCAATAAGTACTGGATCCGCATATTCGGTATCTGGGACTTGAAAAGTTATGATCCAATTTCAACTATTTTTTGTCATGAAATCGCACTGCTTAGATACACTTTGTATGCAATGTTTTATGTCGAAATCGTTATATTCCATCGTTTTATCTTAGTTATTAACTAATATAATATAGAGGACAAAATTGATTGTTAGTATGGATTGAATAGGCTCCGAACTATTTGAAAAAATATTTCACCGTAGGGAAGCTGCACTGTCTCCGGTGAACATAGACTGTATTATATTTTCAAAAAAGTTAGGATCCTTACAAAAATGCCAAATATGTTACCCAAGGTGTAAAAAATTACTTAAAAAATTCCTTACATAGCATGCACTGTGAATACTATTGATTATAGAACAAAAGAATGTACTACGTAATGTAATGTATGTTTACAGAACATATGCATGTCACAATAAGCGTGCTTTTATTATAAAAAAAACAAAATAATTAGAATGCCGCCTCTGTAAAAGCTCTTTATAATAGTGATTCAATACCTTTACATAATTTTTTAAATTATGAATGAAAAAGTTGTGTGGTCGCTGCCCCGCTGGGCTAAGCTGCAACATAATATGCGATGTAGGCGTCATTGGGGCACGTCAAGAAGAAGCGGTTGTGTGCAGAATTGATTATAACTAATATAAGGATTCTCAAAGACCCG